AGCAGGTGTTTATGTGCTCTCAAGGGTGTGCACTGGGCGTGCACCAGTATGAGCCTGGCTCCTTGAGAGTGAGAATGTCCGTATCACAAGTTTCCACATGATAATGTTGGGCGTGTGCATCACTGATACCATGACACATCCAACTTTTTGGTGCTTGATTATCAACGCATTAAACCCATCTCTTTTATTTTTTATTTTTTGTCTCATAAGGTCATCCCACAATCCCAATCTCAGAGATTACTTCTATGTAAAGCGTCGTTAAACAGCATTGGTCCAGAGAGGGGGTTGTATAAGTAAATCAATAACTGCTGTTAAGATATGTCGTCGCCAAGTTGTTTTGATAAAGCCAAACTACAAATAGAATGGTAAATGAAAGTATGCTTTCCGCAGCTAAACCTCACAAAGCCATGAATGCAGTTTCTTAGCTGTGACCACAATCTTTTCCTAAGAAGTGTGGACGTAAGCAGACGCAGAAAAAGTCTCTATAAAAGTTGATGAAATCATTCACTGAGTTTATTGATCATTTGCTTATCCCATTTCTACTTGGTCCCTGGAACCCAACCTTAATATTCTCGTGGAAACCCTGACTGAAGGGTGTATCGATGAGCAGATGGACTACGATAAAGTTCCAAAAGCTCTGTAAACATGTCTGACCATCACTTCTTCTTGGCTGAATAAGAAAACGTACCTATTTTGGACTTAAGACTGACCCCGAGAGACAACAAAAGCTCCCAGAAATAATGATTACAACTATGGAATTGCCAGATATTGGAGTGATTTTAGAAACTCTCGTGAATCAGATGGTCTTCTTCAGAAATGCTGTTTTTTTGGGTGCACAAAATCTGGAAGGCCAGCACAAAAAAAGGAGACAAAGAATTCTGGGCAAAGCAATGGAGGGATGCAAGCCTTTAAAGGTTGGGTACAGGTCAGTTCCTTTGCAGGTGTCTCAACATGCTGGTCATCACAAGGGCCAGTGGGCCTGGACAAGAGCTTTATAGGTGGGGTGTCATATTTCTCATCATGGATGCTGAAAGACCTAAAACATCTTAAGACTCAAAGAAAAATACATTCTGATGAAATATCAATACTAAGCGTATCCTTGTTTTTCTATAAAGCAATTATTACTTTGCTGTAGTCAAAAAGATTTATTGAACAAATGCTGATTGCTCATTTTAAACTGTCAAGCAGACCTGGAATTTCAATTTGGAAATATAAAGTTGAAAGAAAGAAAGAAAAACTCAGAGATTCCTTGGTCTTTTCAAGAATGTGTGATATTTTAGACAGAAGGTGGTACTGGAAACACACAGTGACAAGCACACGTGAACTCATCATGGACCGATTATTTAGAGCTAAATTGTGCTCAGCTGTATGGGTGAGCAGGGCTTATCTTTCTTATTTATTTAACCTCTGGTTAACCAGTAAAATATCACAGAGACCGATATCATAAACAACTGTTTTCTGTGGCGGTGGGATAGAACAAGGGATCGACTTTACCTCTGGACTGTGCCTGAGGGAGTGGCATTGAAAGAAAGAGAAGTGTGTGTGTGTGTGTGTGTGTGTGTGACACAGAGAGCTTTGCTTTCACGCCTTGCTGAGTGGTGAAAGAGTATCTGTCACAGAGGACAAGGCAAAAGACAGAGCGTAAAAGTAAGGCAAAAAGAAAGAAGCACATGGAAATGGACATGGGAAGAGAGAGCAGGGGAAGAAGAGCTGATCGAGAAAAGAGTTGGCTGAAAGCAGCTTCTGTCTTCTGTCCCACCCCCTGAGTGTCTTCCCCTCCTCTCTCTCTGGACGGGAGGGAAAGGGGAAAAAAAAAGAAAAAGGAGTGCAGAAAGAGAGACAGAGAGGGAGCTCAGCCATGCTTGCTCTTTAGCGCAGGACTCAGGAATTCCAGGATCTTTGGAGTTGTGGGCAAACACACTTACAATCAAATATTGCTTTTCTTGTGGTTGCTTAAATCACAGCAAGACTCAGAAAAGGACTGAATAAAATTCACAGAATTAAAAACAGAGTGTAGCCCTCAACAGCCCTTTGGACTATGTGACCAAGACGGCACCTGCCAAGGGGAAAATGACTCAGAGGCACTGAGGACTGGAACGGGACACGGGCAGAGGAAGCAGCTGCTGATAAAGGTGAGCTTACGCTTTTGACTTTACCAAAAGCACTATATCAGGTAATAACATTTCTCAAAGTGTAATTGATTTAGGGAAACTGTGCGTTTGACTTTGGAACAAAGTGATGTGTAGATGTGTGTTTGCCATAATCTCTATTTTCAAAATAGTTCCTGGTAGGTGAGACTTAAAATAATCAGAAAAATAGTCTCCTGATATGCTGACGCTTGTGAATGCCCTATACAGGTTTATGCTGTAATGGGTTGTCCACATGTACAGAACATCTGTCAGCTCTGTTGTATTTTTTTGTTGCTTCATATCTGTGCTATTCATTAAGGGGGTTTCTATGAGTAACAGAAATTCACAGGAAATATACAAGTGAGAGCATTTTGTGGTTTTGTGAATGGATTTGATCATTTGGTGATTCATCTGAGCATAAAGGCGGGCAGTTAGCATGCTGGCAGGAACATGTGTCTTGGATGTTTTGTTTCCTGATTTTTTTCAGTTTTTTTTTTCCCTGTGGCTTTCAGCTGGCGTTGATATAAAACACAGGACTCATTTTTTAATGTTACTGCATCATAGATTCCAGCAAGGCATTTGTCAAAGACTGAGTCATTTAGACCTAAAAATAAATATATTTTTTAGTTTTATAGATCATAAATTGGTAGTTTTGCCTCTTCACACCTGCTTTTAGTCTGTCATCTCTTCCTCTAACCTTCACCCTAAGACACTTTCACTTTTGCTCTCTAATCTTATTTACTTCAGCCTTTTCAGTGGCTTTGCACCAGTCTCACAAATAATGACAAAGGCTTATCCCGGGCCACACTGCTCTGCCCTCAGCCTCTCTCCCACCCCTCTCATCTTTCTTCCTCATCAGTATCTCTCCAACTCTTCACCAACCTACACGTATAAAGCTTTGTGGATCTGTCCTCCTTTATGTACTTTGGCTCTTTCTTCCTCATCCTTCCTGTCAGTCAGAAGATCCCTGGCTTTGTGCGCAGATGGGTGTGTACGGGTTTCCTGACCTACAGGTTTGTATTTTGTCTGTCATTTCATGTATTCAGTCCTGTAATCCATGGACTCACTGGTCTTTATAGCCCCTCCACCCCAAAGTCATCTTAACCTGCACAGTAACCCTGCCATTACCATACCGTTGAGCCCACACATTAACCCTTACTTTACATCAGAGCTGTTGGTCTGACACAATAACCAAAGGACAGTTTTTGAACAATCTGTGATATTGTGAATTGTAAGCAAAATCATTTGTGATTTATAAAAGTCACACAAATTACTTCTAACTTGACGTAAAACATGCCTTGATAGCTTTAAAAGGTGGTATGTAAGCCTCCGATGATAAAACTTTTGTTTTAAAGTCTCTTCAGATCAGAAATGTGTTATTGTGACCATTAAATAAAAACACGTTTCAGGTATTTTTGGGCTACATGCAGACCACCGCAGGTAAACGAAGGTGGAAATATACATTTCTTCAAACAGATGGAAGTTGTTGGTATGTGAAATATGTAATAGAAAAATGAGCTTGTTTTCAGTTGGAGGATGGTTTCTGCAGTTTTACAGATGTTCTCGTCGTAAAAGTGGTCTCGGGGGGGGAAATGTTTAGTTGGTTGCAATTACTTTTTTTTTGTTTTAATAACAGACTGTATGAAGAATTGATTTGGCTAGTAGATGTGGGAAAAAATGCCGATGCTTCTCAAAGTACAATACCACTGATGGTTGGTGGGTACCGTCCCAAAATATTCCTCCAATAGAAAGCCTCATCTTCTTCCAGAATGTTTTATATCAGTCAGTTATTGCCACATGTTTTTATGGTGTCATTAGATGAGAGCCCTTTTGGTGTTTGGTGTGCTTGTGGTCCTTTTGAAAATAATTGCACGATTAGTGGGAGAAGGACCGGCTTGACATGCCTTTGAGTCACTGGGAGTCATACACTGAACAACAGAAGGTTAATGCCACAGTGGCCTTTAAACACAAGCACATTGAAGGGAGGAGTCTTTGGAAAAGAGTTTTTTAAAATATTTTTTTCCCTCTACAGTTTTGCTTTAACTTGTAATGGAAAAAAATGGACACGCAATGACTCAGTGACTAAATTGAGAAAAGTAAATGATTTTTTATCACAACAATGAAAAATCAGAGGCTTAAGCTGTGAAGCATTGTAAAACTTTGCCCCTGTGCTGTGGTTCAGAACAACAACATCGGTCTTAAGCACCATACTGATGTATTGCTTTTAATTTTACAATAGGAAAAGTGACTTTTCGGTTTACTACAGTGTATGCTGATGTGTTTGTTGTTCATGCTGGGCTTTTCGGCTAACGGGACCGGTACTGTAGTGATCAGCATGCCACTGCATGCACATTTGTAATTATTTCAGCAGACACAGATCATAGCAGGACAACACAAAACAATTGAAACTATATTTTTTATCTCTTTTTCTTTACTTCCAATTGTGTCTCAAAGAATAGAAAGTGTGAATGTTGGAGCCTGGTCTGTCAAGCTAAAATGGTGCTAAACTTTACAGAAATGTTGTTGTTGTTGTGCCATTTTGTCAGTGTTTGTTGATGAGGTGGATCCACTTTGTGCATATTTTGCACAAGGTGCATAAGGTGGCATTTGCAGACACATCTGCTGTCTAAATTTTGTTTCTCCTGAGCTTCTACATGGCTAATTCTGGTAAGTTGATTATTCTTCATTCAGCGTTGTTTCTGTTGGGATACTCTCGATAATTACTCTCGCATCCTCCGATTTCCAAAAACAGCATTGACTTTGTGTTGGTGGATTTCTCCTCAGACACATGGCTTTAGCGGGTCAGAAAGCGCACACTCAGTGTAATCGCTTTGACCACGTGGTGACAGGCAGGACTCACTCACGTGTGCAGTCATTTTACATTAAAGAGCAACAAAGTGGACATTTATTTAACACAGCATCTACTGGGGTTTCAAGGTGGGTTCACCGATTGCCTTGTGATGAACAGACCACCAAGGTGACGCTGCGGTAAAAGTGGCTGTAGACGGATCCACTGTCACGCCTCGAAACCCATTAACCCCTCACTCAAACCTTCCAAGGTGGAAAAACGCATTGACCTTTCCCTTAATCCTTTCCTCAGACTGCAAAACGTCCACAAGTTCAGTAGAAAGATGGAAACAAATGCACACAGAAGAAAAAAGAACCTATAAAGCAAAAAGCAGAAATACTGAATGTGTATAATAGCCAGACGATAAAAATGGACATAGTGGTGTTGGTCTATCTCTTTCTTAGTTGTCTGATTGCAGAGAGCCGGCTGCGATGTCAGTTTTCCTTTGTTTGAAATATTTAATGAATGTCTCTGCTCTCTTAAAATATTGACTTTTTCCCCTATAGCCAGAGGGGACAGAAGGAACAGGAGGTTGTTATCCCATTCAAATAAAAAGCAAAAGGATGTTAGCATCAAACTTTCATCAGTTTCTTTTTATTATTTATTTTTGGTTTTCTTTTTTGAACCTTCTGATTTACTTTATTTGGAAGCCACAGCTAATGAAAGATATAATTGGAGTGAGATGATGTGTGTGTGTGTCTCAGCATTTGAAATGCTAAATGAGTATAGATTCTATTAATAAAATGCTAAAACTTTGTGTTCAGAGTTCCGAACTTCAAAAGTTTAAATACAATAAGTTTAAATACAGTGCTTCTCTAACATTTCCTGCAATTTTTATCGCACAACACTAAAAAAAACACTCAACACTTGCTTTTGCTTCAATTGTTGTTAATAGCACAATTGATACTTTAATGGAGATCCCAACTTATAATAGTACCATCTCAGTATGAATTTGAACTAGAAAGCTATTTATCACACAGCACATTTATCTGGAGTTTTAAGGTGAAATATGGACAGTATGATGGATGTTGTATCAATTTTTATTGAAAACCAATCAACCACGTGTGCACATTAACTCAGTCAATATTTGCAGGTATAAAGGAAGTTAGAACATCAGAGTCGGTGGTTTGAAAGCGTCATTTGATATGTGCGGATAACCTGAGCCACTGGATGGATGGATGACAAAAGGGTTGAGCCGGAGGTCAGAAGGGAGTTTTCGGAATTCATCACTTTGTTTCATGGGATTAAATTATGTTGGTGATGCTGGGATGAATGTTCAGTTTCAAAGTTTTAATGTGTGATCTTATCAAAGAGAGTACACACAAATTGAGAAGCGAAAATGATGTTGCTCAGTAAAAGATGCAAAACGTCTTCCTACACATAACTTTTGTGAATATATGACTTGCTAACAAGTTACATAAACAGTGTTGTTAAGGCTCTAGCCGGTGTACAAATTAAAAATTGATTTTCACTTGAGGCGTTTAAAAGATGAGTGGAACCATATTGTAGTTTATGTCTATAAATTCAATAATCAAATGGTTGTTAGCTGTCAGATAAACGAAAGAAGTTATGTCAAATAATGTTGGAGTTTGTTTTCTTCTCATTGAATAAGTGAGGTCAAGAGGGGAAAAATGTTCTGCCCCAAACCCAGATGTTGCATTAAAGATTAGTCTACTTGTAAAAAAACCTTTTTCTAACTGAAAAAAGGTCGCTTCTTTCGCATAATATGGCTGAAAGAGTGTGTTTTAGTTATCAGGAATATCGATTCCGCCATGCTTTTACCACAGTATCAGTTACACAGAGACCTGTTTGAGGACCGCCCCCTGCTTCAGTTTGGACTCAATGGAGCGTGGCACATACATCAGTTTGATTTATCCAGCCAGAAGTTAACTGATGGATTTTGTACTCAGGTTGGGGTTCATTAACACCTAAGAATAGTAAAATAAATAGGTACAAATAATCAAAGAAAATCATTGTTTATTTGAGCATCAATAGATCCAAATAGTGTATAAAGTAGGAAACATTTTTACATGTCTGCAGAGTGTCACATAATTCTGTTAACCCTGTGAACACTGTGCAATATTGTGCATAATGAAAAATAATCAGCAATGTTGTTTGATATCAACACTAATGAAAAATATCAATTCAACACAGT